CGCTGTCGGTCAAGACAACACAGTCAAACTGGGAGCCCGAAGGTTGCGGGTGATGCCGATGTTGCTAGCCTCGACCTTCCGTACAGCCGATACGCCGACACACCGAAATCCTCCCCCTCGCCGGAGTCTCCAACGCTAGACCGACACACCGAAATGCTCCACATCAATATCCCTTCCGCTACTCCCCACAAAACCCGTAGGAGGATATCAGTGGTGAAGCGGGACCGGGCCCCTTGATTCTCATGTTTCGATTTGTGGAGTCTTCCAACCAAAGGGAGAATGGAACATACATGCAGTCACCCCTTTCCGAAGGAACGGGGATCAATCTCGAACACCAATTGTGGCTCAAGTTTGAACACATGCACTGGACTCAGGGAGGGTTCATGGTCGTTTTTGGGTTGGCTCAGCGCTGATATCCACTCCGCTCTCTTTTGCAAAAAGGATGTCGGTGCGCCCAAACTAACCCTAAACGAACCCTTACGGAATCTAAATCAACCCTAAACTAGCTCGAAACACACTTGAAACGTTCTGAACACACTCTAAACCAAGCCTGAACCAACTTAATCAACCGTAAACCAACCGTAAACCAACCTTGGATTAAGCCAACCGCAAAGCACATATCTTAAACCAACACTAAACACACTCTAAACCACCCCGAAACTAACCGAAACCACCCCTGCACCAAGGATAAAACACACACACACACATCCTAAACCAACACTAAATACACTCTAAACCAACCATAAACTAACCTTAAACCAACCCGAAACACATATTTTAAACCAACACTAAACACACTCTAAACCAACCCTAAACCATCCTAAACCACTACAACTAGATCAACCCTAAACCAAGTCTAAACCACTAAACCACTCCCCAACCACACCGCAGGGGGGGGGGGGAGGACTGGGAACCATGGTGGGGGAGGGGGGGGACCTGCGAACCCTTGACCATATATTTATATACATATATATATATACATATATATATATATATATGTATATGTACATAGATGGTTTCGTGCTTGTTGGGGGGTTTAGGGATTCGAAGGGTTTTCGCCTGAGGCAACAGCGTGGCCTGGGGCAACATGCAGCGCACCGCCCAGTACCCTGAGAGCACCTTGGTGACGGTCCTGAACCGCGCCCTCGTGGAGAACAGCGACGAGTGGAATGCCAAGGCGGTGAAGCGGGGGCCCCGATGGCCGAGGGCGCTGAACCTTCCAAGGGCCCAGGTTTACCCTACCGCCATGACTAACCCCTGGTTCTTGAGGGGAAATGGGAAGCCTTGAAGCCACCAATCCAAACCACTTGGGGGGAAGCTGATATGAATGGACGTCTAGGGACTTGGACAGTTTTGGGGATGGATGTTTTGAAGGGGTACTTTACTGCATGGAACTTGACTGCGGGGTCCTGAAAGACAATTTTGCAAATGGATCTGGGTGAGGCGTGGATAGGGTGACCCAGTGGGAAGCTCCCCAGTTCGGCACGGTGAAAATCTGGTGGGATCAGGAAGAGGACTGCCACCGCGTGATTGAATCCTGCGAATGAAATCAACGCAGCAGTAATAGCGAGAAGCAACCACATCCCCGGAATAAATTGGGAAGATAGAGACGCAGCAGAAGCACAGCCCCAGCATCACGGCCTTGGCAGTGACTTGCTGGTGCTCAGTAGGAAATGAGGGAATGACTCTCAAGCATCCAAGATCCAAGTGGTGGTTTCCTTGGTGGGTTCATTCTGTCCTTCCCTACAGAACCGCAGGGTGAAGCTTCGGCGGAGGGTTGCATGATTGCATTTCGGATGTCCGAGGCTGAGCAAGCGGATCGACATCACCAACCCGGAGATGGACGCGGCCATGCTTGGGCTGTACGAGAAGACTGTGTGCCTGGGCTGAATTGGTCCGCAAAGATGACAAAAACACAGGGGAAAGCAAGGGAAAGCAAGGGAAAGCAAGGGAAAGCAAGGGAAAGCAAGGGAAAGCAAGGGAAAGCAAGGGAAAGCAAGGGAAAGCAAGGGAAAGCAAGGGAAAGCAAGGGAAAGCAAGGGAAAGCAAGGGAAAGCAAGGGAAAGCAAGGGAAACCAAGGGAAACCAAGGGAAACCAAGGGAAACCAAGCGAGAAGCGAGGGAAAAGCAAAAGAAAAGGAAAGCAAGGGAAAGCAAGCGAAAGCAAGGAAAAACAAGGAAAAGCAAGGAAAAGGGAAAGCAAGGAAAGCGAGGAAAAGCAAGGGAAAACAAAGCAACACAAGGCAAAGCAAGGAAAAGGGAAAGCAAGGGAAGCAGGGCAACGCAAGCGAAAGCAACGGAAAGCCAAGGACAGCAAGGGACAGCAAAAGCAAACCAGGGCAAGCGAAAGCAACGGAAAGCCAAGGACAGCAAGGGACAGCAAAAGCAACGGAAAGCCAAGGACAGCAAGGGACAGCAAAAGCAAACCAGAGCAAGCGAAAGCTTGGAAGAGCAAAGGAAGGCAATGGCAAGGGAATCCAAGGCACAGCAAGGCAAAGGACAGCAAGAGACCGCAAGGGACAGAAAGGGCAAGACCCCAAGGGAAACCAAGGGAAGGCAAGGGACAGGAAGGGAAAGCAAGGCCAGGGGAAGCACGAGGAGCCCACGGGCACTTTTCCGTTTGCCGGAGTCATTTGCAGATTCCGGACAGAATTTCCGTTTGCTCATCCAGAGTAGCTTCAAGGGATCCTTTTCTCCGGGAGAATGGACGACGGAGAGCTCAGTTATCGAGTTCTCGAGCCGGGATCGAGGGCGAATGGGTGGAGCTACACCAACTTCTTCAACGAAGCCTGCGAATTCATCAAGGAGTCATGGGATTCTTTCAATCGCTTCGCAGCCAACGACTTTCTAGCCTTTTGGGGCCCTTCCGTATTTCGTGTCTCCAAAAGGCGAACCTTTTCTTTCCAGGCTCTTCGGAGTGAGAAGAAGCCCACTGACTTTCCCATGCCCCTGCCCGGGCCGGGATGTGCATGGGTGGCTTTTCTGGGTCGTGGTTGAACATAGGCGGGTTCCGCTTTCTAGTTGGATTCCAATCATGTAGTGCCATCTATTTTACTCGTGGGACCCCAAAGCTTCTGTAGCAAAGTAGGGATAAACAAGGAAGCCCCCTTGTGTATCCCTTTGAATTGGAAACATAGATGGAGGATGCTCAACAGCAAGGGTCTAGATTGGGCAGTCTTTGCAACTGCTACCAGTCGCCCCTTTTGGGTTTCCCGAACCTGTGCGCCATGGTGTGTCAATTGCTGGACATGAACCACACGTTGACTGTGGGAGTCCGATGCGCTATTTGTAGGGTGTGCCCATCAGAAACATGGTTGATGAATCATGCTGGCTCCCGTTGAAAACCAACGATTTGACACACACACACACACACACGCACACCCTGCTACAGAAGCAAGCTTGGAAACCTGCCATGAAGGAGGATTCGCCATTAAGGCCTTCCATTTGAATCACAGCGGGCAACTCCCACAACCCTGTTATGAATGCATGATAAGCATGGTGTGTCTGAAGCTTTGCGTTTGGACACAAGCGCAGGACAATTGGGGCAAGGTCTCCGCGTGGATTCCTTCTGATGTGGAGTGCGCGCCCGGCACAGGCAACATGCGTCATACTACTCTGCTCTGAGTTTCAGACGGGCTCCGTTGGTTGCCACTTCCTGTGATCTTGGGGACCCATTGTGAAGAACAAGCTCTCTATCACGGAAGTGGTTGCAATTCTCACAAACCTGGGTAATGATGTAAGGACTTCCAAGCACCTTGAAGATTCGAAACGCTTTCGATGTCAATTGTGACGCGTTGCCACACGGTTTGTTCTGCCCAGACAAAGGTAAGGGATCACGTGCACCCAGTCGCACATTGGCGGGAGTGGACTCGGGAAGAACATAGGGCCCGTATTCAAGCATGCCATTTGGTGCGGATTTTGTATCTTTTTGGATGGCTGACACTTCAGTCAGAAACCCATGTTCCTGACGATGCCCTGGGCTAGAGGGGAACAGATGGGTGTCTTGAAACAGGGGACCCTCAAAACGATTAGTTTCCTTTTGGTTTCCTTTTTAACTACAACCAAAAAAGGGGGTCCCCCCCAACAAAAAGAACAAAATCTATTCCGGCTTGATTCCGCATCAGCTCCAATATTCGCAGTTTGTGTTTTGATTCATTTGACCAATGGCCACGTAGAGGTGAGATCCTTCTCGGGTTGGCGGCTTGGTGAAAACCTTCCAGCCGGACATGCATTCCCAGCGTGTCCAAGAGAAGTGCTCGTTCTGGTTCTCTTGTTGGTTCATTGTAAATTCATGGAGCCACAAAAAGCTGAGGCTCGAGGTGTTTCTCAGGTGCACCCCCTTTTGATTGGGTGGTTTAAACAACCACCAACCAGTTTAGGACCCCTGTTTTGAGAAACACCCTTGGCTTTCGTCCTTTTGAAGAAGCCGTACAGTTTGGAGCACGAGGCTTATGCTGAAATCGGATTGATAGGCGGTATCTTGACCCACCAGGAAAGGTGCACCAAAATCAGAGCAGCATCTTTCGATTGGAGCCCCTGATTCTTATTGCTTGCTGGTTATCAGCAAGGAATCTACATGGGGTTTGGGAAGAAATCCAAGGAAACTACAAAAACAGAGCTTCAGTTTGGGTCATTCTCGTCTCATTCCCTGCCTATGGAACCAAGACAAGCTCTCCAGTTCGTCTCTATCTGAAGGATTGTTCACTCAGGGCACTTACTCGCCCCGTGGACCGGCCGGTGTATTGACGGGGTAAATGCATTTTGCAGGGAGCATCTATGGCGTGCCCAGTAAAAACACAAGGGCTAAGCTTCGTGTAGTTTTTTTTTTGCGTCCAGACTGAAAGGTGCGCGCAAGCGGTCCATAGCCGAGCCTTGCAAAGGGCTGAAATCCAGGTTGTCTTGTACCCAAAGTCAGGTGCTGCCGCAGCGTCAAGCAGGTTTTCCAGGGCAGTTGATAGTTTGAGTATATGTCAAGATTGAAGGGACCCTCCAAATTTCCGCTTTCGTGCAGCTTTGCCTTCAATGCTCCCTCCAAACCATGCGTTTCCCATTTTTACTATCCTTTTTGAAGACCCCCCACCTTTCCCCGCTTGAAGGTGATTAGGGGCCCCTCCAACCTCCAAATCTCAAGTTTCTTCCAGACCAAAGGGCCTCCGATTTGTCGCACTCAAGACAAAAATCAACCACCAAGGCTCGGCTGTGTTTCTTGCCTCTTTTATTTTTCCGAGGAGAACCCGCCAGATACCCAATTCTTACCCGGTTTGGGGACTCTCATCCAGTGGAACCCATTTCCATGGGTCAAAATCCCGCACCCCCAGTGAACATCCCAATCCCCACTAAAATAGGGTCTAAAATGGTGGTGCACCGAAAACCCCCCAAAATGGGATATCATTGGTGTTGACAACCACGGTCATGTATTTTGCAAGCACTAAGCAAACAAGTGGGTCGAGCCAACGGGTTTTCGCATCGCAGGTGTGAGCACTGCTAGCGGCGGCCGCGACGTGAGGACTTTGGAGGAGGCGGCGTCTTGCAACTGGTGCCCACCCGGCGGCTGGAGCTGGAAATCGGATGGCTTTGGGTTCGGGCTCGGCACCATTTGGGTACGGGTCAAAATAAAACCACCAGGAATTGGACCGCAGGTTGTAGTCTTTGGTTCCATTTACCAGGGCAACCTATTTTGGGTACGCAGGTTTGACCCATAGCCATTTGGGTTTATGGCTTCAACACGGAATACACGGAAAAGTTGCGTCCTGTTCTTGGGGCCTTGTTTTTCTTGGGGTTGAAAAGGAATACAAGGAAACCCACTATGAGGTGCCCTACAGACAGACACACCCGTTTACCTTTTGACCCTTTTGGGCGAATGGGGAAAGAGAGGGACCCCCCAAAGAAAGAGGGTTGGACTCACTTCCAATCCCAGGCACCCAGTGGCTTTGTTCAGTTCAACTGTTTTGCAGGGGCTTTTCCTTAATCACCAGGCACCAAAAACAGGGGGAGACTGCCCGACCTCCCAAGTTTTACTCGTTACTCCAAGACATAAAGGGAATAGTGCCATCTACGTTTATGCTGATGTACCAGATCTCGGGTTGAGGATTCACGGACTCTGGTCCTAGGGCAGATAGTATCTTTGGACTCTTTGAACCAGAGCAACACATACATCAATCCTTACCAACAATGGAGCAACATAATCGAACTCTAGACGGCAACAACATATTCTCGGGGTAAATGTTGCAACATGTAGTCGGGGTACCATCAACATATACATGTACCTCAAGTCCCTAGGGGTTCATGCGACAGTCCGGGGTGAATCAACGGGTGGTTGGTGAACAAATGCGACCAACTATCAAGGGCCATGTTTTTGCTGTTCAGAGCATTCCGGACCGAAAGCAGTGGGGTTATGACTTCTCTGAAAGAGGGGGGGCCGGAGGGGAGAGCATTTCGCCATACAAGTTGGGTTCCCTTTCAGAGCCACGAGCAACAAGACAAGTATCTTCATCGACTCCAGTCTAGGGACCCTAGCCAGTTTGACAGATCAAGGGTTCCTTTTGGAAGAGGACATGTTCTGCAAACGTACTTCAACCCAGGGACCCCTTTGGACAGGGACAGTTTTACTCATCCCAAATAATTCACCAGCTCCAAGTGAGGAGCAGCGGGCCGACTCTATACCCTTCTAAAGCCGGCATGAGAAGCTACCATGGTCCGTCTCTATCCCCTTCGTTTTTAGGGGACCCTTTTTGGGGCTGCCCCCTCCCCCGGGGGCACAGAAGATTATGCCCTATGTTATTCCCGCGCTTGCGCAGGGGGGAGGTTCGAGGTTCTTGCGAACATGTGGCCTTTTGCTCTCTTTATTCTAATTTGTCTATCTATCTAATTGTTCCAATCACTCTAGTAGCATAAGCATCCCTCGCCCTACGCAAGCCGTGGCGGAGCGCGACTGGAAGCCAGCAATCCTTCGCCATGGGGTTCCCGAAGAATGTCTTGAAAGGGCAGCCGTGAAAATCACATGTACAAGTTCATGGATTCCTCGGTCCTTCCGGCATGACGCTCTTCCTCTCGGTTTAAAACATATGTTCACCGTTCAAGCCCATCCATGCCCTCTACATCTTGGGGGTCGGCATCAGGCGTAAGCCTTCCGCTGAAGAATGGATAGAATAACTTGAGTTACAGGAACTAAAGGAGAAATGACGTGGACTTCCTGAGGCACAAGTCCCTGTGGGAACGAAGTAGAATGACTTGAACGACCAGAAAGCAAAGGGCTTCATTCAATCTATGTTGTTTAATGTTTCTAAGTTGGTACCATCAGGATATTAAAGAAAACTGCTCAACTCTGAATGAATTAGAAAAAAAAACAAATCGGTCTACATGTCTTCGACTTATTCCATTTGTTCTAATCAATGAGATCCAATCCAGTACTTATACTGATTTAATCACACATTTGCAAGCCCCTTCGGGAATAATTCTTACATTTTGTTTTTAAACAAGTACATGTTGGCAAACATGAATATTTCCGTAAACGGCACCACATCCACTTGGGAATAAGTAGTCTAATAGGACAAATCAAAGCAGCCGAATAATTAGAAACAACACACTGGATTTCCACAGAGGGAGAACGTCCCTTGAGGAATATTAGAAGAACAAAAGCATAAAGAATTAGACGATGAAATCAAATGCATCTAGGATTTCCCAAAAGGCACCCCTCTCTTTCAGAATATTTAGCAAAAGGGCATGCTGCTGTGTATTCTACGGAATTAGAATGCTTAGAACAAGTAGATCAACAGAGAAAAAAACTGTTTTCAAATAGTTTCCCCGTTCCTTTGGGAACAATGTAGCAGAATCAGAATAACCAGAACAGCATAACCTGGCAATGCCTCAAATCCACTCAACCCATTTTGAATAAATCAAACAATCAGACTAGTTAGAACAATTGTTACTATTAGAAGAACAGTGAGGCTGGATTTTCCCAGAACGCACCCATCCCAATGGGAACAAATCAAGGAATTAGAATTATCATGAGAAGCAGAGTGTTGAGCACTTTTTTTGTAATTTGGACGGCAGCACATTTTTTATTTGGACGGCAGCCGGCCCCTTGTTGAGAACAAGTAGAATAGCTAGTTGGAATTGTGACAATGATTACAATGGTTAGAACGAGCATGAATGTTGTTTTCCCCACGAGGTAACCCCTCTTTTTTGGTAATGAACAAGATAATGATAATAATTGTAAGAAGTATAATAATTAGAACAAGCATGGACCGTTTTTGTTTTTGTTTGTCTTGAGGGCTCCCGCCCCGTGGTGGAAAAAATAAACAGAACAACTACAACAAAGCAGTCGTGGGAGTATATGGAATGATTGGAAAAACGAAGGCTTTTCATGTTGCTGTGGTGTGCTTGGTGTGTATATGGCTTGTCAGTTTGTTTGAACCCTTTGTGCCACAGGGGGGAAATTTGCCAATATCCTAATCAAATAGAGTAATTAGGAAAATATCAGTTTTTGCCTCATTGTTTCAATTATCCTAATCAATGAGAACAATTAGACTAATTAGAATACATAGAAAACAAAAGTAATCTGGCCCAGAAAAGGCACCAGAGCAACATAGGGCACAATCTTCCTTCATACTCCCCCCCCGGCCCAGGAAGATATTCCGAAGCCTTCACCTTGCCCAACGCGGCCGGGACCCGATTTGTCTCAACTTACAGGCGGGGACGGGCGGCTCGTCGACTCGTCGATCTTGGAGGCGATAGGCGGCCACTGTAGCTCCTGCCACGGAGGATTTCTCGAGGACGTGCAGTGCCTCCTGTAAAGGGGCGGGGGGGGTGGAGGAGTCAGAAGCGCATGTTCTCAAGGCGCGAGCCCCCCCAAATTTCCGACATTCCGACACAGGAATCATTGGACGTGGGCTGTGCAGAATGTGGGAGTGCCAGAGGTATGCTCTGATGTGCCAAGAAGGCATTTCCTGCAATTTACCTGGGCTCATACGGGAGCTTCTCAAAATGGTGGGCCCCTTTGCTGGTATCTAAAAACCGCAAGGAAACCAACGATTTTAAGGGACCGAATCCACCCAGTAGGTGCTTCCCAAAATTGAATGGCGTTTCTTCTTGGGGAGCCCAAGGGCAAAAACTTTTCGTGGACTCCGATGTCCCTCCCGTCAGATTGTTCAAGGGAAACCGACCACCCTCCAAAACTCATCCTAAACTCACCCGAAACCCAAGACCCATCCCACATCAACCCCCCGAAGCAGGATGTCCCTTATCGACGTTGCGCTCAGCCAAGTGCCCGGTGTTGCAAAACACGCCCAAAACCAAGCCTAAACCCACCCTAAACCGACAAAGTCACAGAACACAGCCTAAACACACCAAACTCACCTGAAGCCAAGCCTGAACCCAAGGCTGCACTACGTAGCCATGAAACGAGCTCGGACCCACAGCCACCTCGAACCCACTCGGTGTGTCGCCTGGAAGCAGAGGTGCAGCCAATGCGCGCCGGGACAAAAGCAGCCGGTGGGTGGAAGTACGAGCTGCGAGACGTGCTCCTGGGCAAAAAAAACAAGAATGAGAGAGTCTTTTTTGAGGGCCAAAAGGAACTTGCCTACTTTGGTGTCGCTGTTGTTGTCGCCATTCCTTGAATTGGTTAGACAAGGCGTCGGGGGTAGAAAGCTAGGAGTCTCGTGGGGTTCCATTTGGGTCAGACTTTTGCGGAAACTCAGCCCCAAATTGCCCTTTGACATATTACCAGACCTTGCGTACATGTGCAGGTGTCTTCTTGAGGGTACTCCTTCGGGAAAACCGACGTACTTGGGTTGCCTATTTCAATACAGTCATGTTGTTTGCTAGACTGCTTTGGGTGCAGTCCTGGGTTTCTTTCGGCTCCCGCACCAAGGGGTTTGGGTTGTGGACATCCTGTCTTGCAGGTCCATTTCTTACAGGGCCCATTTGGTAAGACTTCCTCACCATCTAATTGGTGGTTGAAAGGAACGCCATCTCCACAGAACGCCTCAATATGTTCACTGAATGAGGACCCAGCCTTACAGGTTGGTGAATCATTTGCCCAAACAAGTCACAGTATGTTGACTAGCCCCTGCAGTGCCAAGTCTTGCGTGTAAGAGCTCGGCGCCTTTCGAGGCCACGTGCAAGCCAAACATCAGCATTTTGAGTCAAAACTAGGGACGGAACATGCTGTTCATCTCGTTTCTTTTTTTGGGGAGCCAAGAAGGGTCGCCAGTTTGATTTGTATACAATCAACTCACCATCCAAAGCGGGTTTTGGCACAGCGCATCTTGGTATGACATTCTCAGAACACATTCGTGCAGAACTTTACACACTTTCCGGCGCTTTCTGTGGGCCGCGAATATTTTGGGTCACCTCCCCGGCTGGATAGAAAGCGGGGCCGCCGGGAGTCCCATGGGGTGCGATTCCCCATTTTCCACCATCCTTCTTTTCGAACACCCGCCGTTTTCCCTGGGTTCAGTGAGGATTTTGGGAAAGAAGGATCCCCAGAAAGCATGGGACAGGTAGCCCTATGTGGCCACTGCAGTTTTCCCGGGGCATTCCTTGAATTGTGGCAACGAGGGACCGCCAGTGAATCGAGGAACGCGATTTGGGTTTGTGCTGCTTTCTGGCAAATCGTTTCTTTGGGTTTATCGTTTGATTTCTTTGGCGGAAGGGAACCTCCAATCCATTTGGGTGTCTCTTTCGAGCGCGCCTGTTTGCTGGGTTGCTTAAAAGGACACCAAATGTTGGGAGGTCACCGATTATCACACCATTTCTGAACTGGCCTTGTCTTTTGCCCATTGACTAGTGGAAAAGTAGAGGGTCGACCTCTTTGGATGAATTGATCATACTTCTTTTTTTGGCCCTTGTAGTACCTCCTGCAAAGACTCCATGCGGGTATTTGCGAACAAGGGACCTTCTTGTGGCAATTGGGGCTTCCCCGCGCCGCATTTCTGTTTGGGAAAACAAGGACTTGCCCCTTTGTGGGTTCTCACCTGATCCGGCGTTGGGCTGGCGGACCTTGCAGATTTTGGGCAGGGCCGTGGGGAATGACCACTTTGATACAACAGAAAGGGCGTCCCAAAGTCGAAATCGTTCATGTATCACAGAAGTGGTGGGATGAACCCCGAGCGATCCAGCCCTGTTTGGCACCTTTGGGCTGTGTGCATCGGAACCGGCATCGGAACCGTGTCGAGGTTCCGCTGGCAGCTTCAGCTCTCAGCCGGGCGCAACGGCCTGCGCCCTGCGCCTCGGCCATGGGGTTCAGGGGTACAGGGTTTTGACCCGCAATCACCTTTTTGGGGGCGGTTCCAAATAAAAGCATTTGGAGGGTAAGGCTGGGGCTGCTTTAAGAGCCCCCCCCCACCCACCGAAGAGCGCCACCAGTCACCGGGGGTCTCTTTAGCGGGCAAGTTGGGGGTCTGGGTTTGACTGCGACTTGCTAGTATTTACTTTAGTGTCCAACATGCTAGGAGCGTGGTATGTAATATGTTCAGAAGATGAGCCAAAATGGCATGTTGGCCCAACATGCCATTTTGGCTCAGGGTCTCGATTTTTGCTCGTTGCGATCATTTCCGGTTCGGTTTTTCCCACCCTGCTCCCACGATGTCGCTCTCAGCTGACTCTGCGGAATTCATCGGCATGGACTCCGCAACCTGTGGCCTCGGCGGACCGAGCCGCAGGCACCGCAGGCACCGCAGGCACCGCAGGCACCGCAGGCACCGCAGGCACCGCAGGCACCGCAGGCACCGCAGGCACCGCAGGCACCGCAGGCACCGCAGGCACCGCAGGCACCGCAGGCACCGCAGGCACCGCAGGCCCCAGCAGCAGGCACCGCAGGCACCGCAGGCACCGCAGGCACCGCAGGCACCGCAGGCACCGCAGGGCACCGCAGGCACCGCAGGCACCGCAGGCACCGCAGGCACCGCAGGCACCGCAGGCACCGCAGGCACCGCAGGCACCGCAGGCACCGCAGGCACCGCAGGCACCACAGCCCAAGCCAGGGTGAGACAGGAGCATCGGAGGCAAGCAGCGGGCCTGGCCAGCGGGCAGCGGTTGCAGCGGGCGGGCGGTCAGTGGCATCAGTTTGGTGACAATGGGCTGATGTCGCCGGTCCTCTCAGAGTCCCAGTACTTTGCTTTGCCAATTCTAAGTTCAGTATGGCCAAGACTAGCCCTTCAGAGTTCGTACTTTCTTTTAATTCTGTATCTAGTGTTGCTTTTGGCTTTCACCTTAGGACCAGCCACCCTTTAAAGTAAAAGGCTAAGGCCGTGATTTGGGGATATTTGGGAATTTCCCCCGCAACAGCTGGACATTTTAGCAAACCTCAAAACAGCCGCATTAAACATAATCAGGGCCACTTGTGGGCAGCCTCCTTTGCGTGATTGTTTGCCCTTCCCATTTTTTTTCCTCCAAAAAGAAGGCAACGTATATTTGCAAGCGTGACTGCTTGCCACCTTGGGAGCTTCCGAGCTCTGAGGCCAAGCCTTTGAGCTGGGAATGGCTTATGAGCCACCCTTTGAAGGTAAAAGGCGAAGATTTTGACCAGGGAAACTCTTAACAACAGTGCTGGACATTGAATCGAACCATGCAACGGCCAGATTAAGCAGAATCAGGGCCTCTTCTAGGCAACCCCCTTGGTGTGACTGTTTGCCCTGGCTTTGTTTCAATAAAGGAATTACCTTACCCTTAGATTTGATGGTTTGGGGACCACTTCGATCAAGGGCTTCCGGATTTGTTTGCCCGGATTTGTTTGCCAACGATTTTTGCTTTCTTCTTTTCCTCGATTTGGTTGCCCACAGAAACTGATCTTTCGAGGTGACCCTCGAAACAGTCACAGCATTTAACTTGTTACAATAGCGACCGCGGGATTGAAGAAGCGGCCCTAACATGGACTTTGAGGAAGTCACTTTACTGGATCCAGTACTGAGTGCTGAATAGCTCATAGCTGATTTGTTTTTCTCTGAAGAGGTAGTTCATTGTTTTGTGAAGAGCACAGAGTGTATCCTTGAGTTGGACACTTCTGGGCTTGGGAAAGGAATGCCAAAAAAAAAAAAAAAAGTCGGGCCATATCAAGAATTTAAAAAGCGAACCTATGACAATCATTTTGCATGGTGTGCTCTCACCGAGTAAAGCAAACTCACTTGGATCCGTTGGTCCACATGCAGGAGAAGCACTCCGCAGCTGAGGTTTGGTCCTTTTTGAGGGTGCGGAATTCCTTTTCGAAAGTAAGCAACACGTAGACTTTGTGGCATTTTGCCAAGGGATGTCAGGACTTTAGCTTTTTGCCAACTAATGGGTTTTCCATGAAACCACTAAAAGTTATCAACTTTTAGCGGAGCAGAAAGCACCCGAGTCGAAGCATCTTTCGCTGAGGTGCCGCATCGGATCCTACATGGGCTCCAGAGGGGCCGCGGAATGCCAGTCCTGCAGATTGCCAATGGTCACGGGCCAGGAAGGGCAGCGTTTGGCTGAGGGATCCATGGAATTCCAAGACTGCTCCGAAAATCGGAGCTTTGCGAAAAGAGGAACCCGGGGGTGTCACCCACCCCAAGTTTTGACGCATTTTTTTTTTTAATAAGCGGCTCTTATTTTTTTGCAATCGTCTCAGAAGTGAGAGGATCGTATTCAAGGGCTGCGCATGGCACCAGAGGAAGTTCCACATGCGCCGCCAAAAACGCATCACCGAGCCACAACTGCCTCAAATGTGCATTTGAGCAAGTCCCAGTAGCTAACCAGCCGGTTTTCTGACGACTGCAGCATCTTGCTTCAAGGGCACCCAAGGATCACGACAATGCAATGCAGCCGTAAGTTTCTTGACACCAGGCTTTCCTTGGGCAGCTTCAAGAAACGATGCAAAACCACGCGTGCGCGCTCGAAAGTTGACCCCGCGGCCTGCTCGCGCCCTGTTATTAGTCAGGGCAGGGCGAGGTTGGTGGTGCTGGCGATGCCAAGCAGACTGTGCACGCCTGGAGAAGAGGGAGAGAGAGAGAGAGAGAGAGAGAGAGAGAAAGGTAGCGCTCGCCCCAGAAAGCACCAAGTTATGAATGATGCTGAAGAGGCTCTAGGATTTGAAAACCTTGAGGTTGTGTGAGCGCAAGCAGATGCCAGCGACAGCCGCCAAGTTGCTCACCGCGCCGCTTGTTTTCTGGAACGCATAGGGGACTTGTTTGCCTTGCGTGTGTGTGTGTGTGTGTGTGTGTGTGTGTGTGTGTGTGTGTGTGTCTGTGTCTGTGTCTGTGTCTGTGTCTGTGTCTGTGTGTCTGTGTGTGTGTTTGGGTTTGTGTGTGTCAGTGTGTGTCAGTGTGTGTCAGTGTGTGTCAGTGTGTGTCAGTGTGTGTCAGTGTGTGTCAGTGTGTGTCAGTGTGTGTCAGTTTGTGTGTCAGTGTGTGTCAGTGTGTGTGTCAGTGTGTGTCAGTGTGTGTCAGTGTGTGTCAGTGTGTGTCAGTGTGTGTCAGTGTGTGTCAGTGTGTGTCAGTGTGTGTCAGTGTGTGTGTGTTTGTGTTTGTGTTTGTGTTTGTGTTTGTGTTTGTGTTTGTGTTTGTGTTTGTGTTTGTGTGTGTGTGTGTGTGTGTGTGTGTGTTTGGGTTTGTGTGTGTCAGTGTGTGTCAGTGTGTGTCAGTGTGTGTCAGTGCGTGTCAGTGTGTGTCAGTGTGTGTCAGTGCGTGTCAGTGTGTGTGTGTGTGTTTGTTTCTGTGTGTGTGTGTGTGTTTGTATTTGTGTTTGTGTTTTTGTTTGTGTTTGTGTGTGTGTGTGTTTGTGTTTGTGTTTGTGTTGTGCTTGTGTGTGTCTGTGTGTCTGTGTGTCTGTGTGTCTGTGTGTCTGTGTGTCTGTGTGTCTGTGTGTCTGTGTGTCTGTGTGTCTGTGTGTCTGTGTGTCTGTGTGTCCGTGTGTCTGTGTGTCTGTGTGTCTGTGTGTCGGTGAGTGTGTGTGTGTGTGCCTGTGTCTCCGTGTCTCTGTGTCTCTCTGTCTCTGTGTCTGTGTTTGTGTTTGTGTCTTTGTCTGTGTCTGTGTCTTTGTCTGTGTCTGTGGCTGTGTCTGTGTCTGTGTTTGTCTGTGTACGTGTGTTTGTGTTTGGGCTTGTTGGGCTTGTGCGTGTACGCGAGCGGGCGCGCGCGTGTTCGTGCGTGCGTGCTTGCTTGCTTAGTTGCTTGTTTGTTTGTTTTTCGTTTGTGTGTTTTGTTTAACAGCAGACTAGGGGCAAACCACCCAACTGGCCCAACTGGGTGCAGCTCCAATGTCTTGTCTGGCACCGAATCCTGGGTGTGAGCAGGGAATAGCCAGATCAAGGAGCAGCTAGGCAAAAAAGGTTGCTCCCAAAGAGATGAGTCTTGAAGTACAGGAGTCAGGCGCACTGAACCGCTCCCAGCTCTCATTTCCCGAGTAAGGCTCCAGACAAACGATCCAGTGTGTGTGTTTTTTTTTATGTGGGGGAGGTGACAGAAGGACCCCTGTTCAACGATGAGACTTCGCCAGGAGGGCAGCCTGTTCGTGGAGCAGTGCCAATGCCCGCGCGGCACGGTGCGGCCCTGCCGGTACCGTGGGACCATGCGCTCCTCGCTACATCTCGGTGTCTTCCAAAATTTCGGGCCCCCAACGTGGCCGGTTTCCTGTTGGCTTTCCTTATTGTCGGAAGCAAGAAGGGGGCGCCTTCCTAATTAAAAGACATCCATTTCCTTTCACCCCTCTGCGGGGCAATGCTTTGGATAAAGTTTTTGAGTGCAAAGAGATCTATGCCCTACTGTAGGAAGGTCTCAAAAAAAAACAAAAACTGGCGTCGCAGCTTTGACGACGGCAGTCCTTTGTGGGCGCTGGCGAGCAGAACACTCCGGTGACGCATACGGGCCTGTTTCTTTAAGGCACCAGTACAATTTGCGCAGTTGGGATGAGTATTAACATAGGGATAAAGCACCCCAATGATACTGGCGCGACACTAGGAAAGCCAACAAGTTGTTGGTTACCATTTGTTTTGTCCTTTACATCCAAACAAGAAAAGGGGTTCCCACAAACAACACACACACTCAATGAACCATGTCGTCTCGTGAGGTTCTGAATGCAGGTGCAACAACACGGAGGCGACTTGGATGCACTTCCAATCAACGCAGCTTGAATTTGCGTGGGCCACTCAAAAAAACATAGTTCTCTCAAAGAGGACTCAAACCAAACCCACTATTTGGAGGCTAGAATGTCAGCTCCCAGGTTTGCATTCCGCTGACAAGTCTCAAAAGGTCCTTAAGGGAGCCAAAATTCAACAGCCGCCAGCACCCTGCGGCCCTGCATCTGTCATCCTGGTTCTCACTAGCTTCCATTTTCTCGAAGAAGACAGGTTGGAATCTTTCAAGTGGTTTAGGAGCCATAGGAATCTGGTCGAATCTTGCTCGATGTTTATGTTGCGCACGTGGCTTCTGCTTGGTAACCTGACATCTTGTCCATCTCGTTGCTTTTTTTGTGGCAAACTTGCCTGCTTGCTTGTCACGAGCCAGGCAGACCATTCTAAGGGACAGCTGCCGGCGTGGCTTCTCCCATTTCCTTTTTGCACGGCTCGAGTTCTGAAAAAACCGCCTGGGTGGGGCTCAGTTGAACAGGAGTTTAAAACTCTGGGTCCGATTCAACATTTGCCTCCCGGGTTGTACCAGCCGAACAGAGCTAGCCGACGAGATATCGGACCCAGAGCTAGTACCAGCTAACAGCATGGTTGTTGTTGGGAAACATTCTACATTTTTGCTTATTGTGGTTTAGTGGGAAACCCCCACTCAACTGCTAAAATTTAATTTTTGCTCCCCTTTCAACGTCAACCAAGACAGGAGTTCAAAACGGGTTGTCGCGAGATCTACCAGCCGAACACCGGCGCCGCCTGCATCCCCTGCCCCGCGGGCTTGATCTGTGAGCTCGCGGCCGACGAGAAGGCCGCCTCCAAGCGGTGGAAGACACGACTAGCGAGTCTTTTTGCGGAACCCCTAAGGGCACATACACAACACACACGTACATACATACATACATCCATCCATACATACATACCCAGATGAAACACATGCATACGTACAGACAGACATACATACATACATACATTCATGAATTCATTCGTTCATTTGTTCGTCCATTCATTCATTCATTCATTCATTCATTCATTCATTCATTCATTCATTCATTCATTCATTCATTCATTCATTCATTCATTCAGACGGACAGACAGACAGACAGACAGACAGACAGACAGAGGTACATACATACATACATACATACATACATACATACATACATACATACATACATACATACATACATACATACATACATTCACACATACATACATGCATGCACACATACATACCTGGTTAAGAATACACACAGACGCATAGATACCTGCGTACCTACATACATACATACATACCCAGATACAATACATACAGACACACATACATAGATACCTACATACATACAAGTATACATACCCAGATAACATACATACAGACACACATGCATAGATACCTACATCCGTACGTACGTACGTACATACATA